AGTTGCTTACAACTCATAGTGACCCTATGTATAACAGCCCTAAACTCTGCTCTAGCCCTTGCCAATCTTATTGTCTCCAACATACCTATCCCTATTACCCCAGTGACAGAATCAGTCCATCCCATCGAGGGTCTTCCTCTCCTGCAATGTTCCTCCACCCTTCCAAGGACTGATCCTGCCTTGCAGCATGTCCAAGTATGTCAGACAGAGCTTCAGAATCCTTGCCTCCAAGGAGCAGCCTGGCTTCACCCTTTCCAGGATGAACTTGTTTGTTCTCCTAGCAGTCCATGCAGTACTCTTCCCCAGCACCAAAGCTCAAAGGCATCAACTCTTTTATCATTCTTAGTCACTGTCCATCTCTTTGAAACATAACAAGTAATTGCAAAGACCATGGCCTGTATCAGGCTCACCTTAGGCTCCATATTGATATCGTTGCTCCTCAGTACCTTGGAGAGGTCTCTGACAGCCCAATGCAAGTCCTCTTTTAATTTCCTGGCTGCTGGTGCCAAGATTGTTGATTGTAGAGCCAAGCAAACTGAAGCTGTCAACAATCTAAATCTCTTCATCATCCATCATGTTGCTACCTATCGGCCCAGTGGTGAGAATCTTTATAGGGACCATAATATAGTAAAAAAGACATCTCGTGTTTCTGTTTTGGTTTTTTGTTGATTTTTTTTGTTTGTTTTTTTGTTGTGTTTTTTTTAAGGAAGAGAAGATGGACTACAGCATGCAAGCCAGTATGAGCCACAGCTGGACCATCTCTTTAAAGATTACTTAGATAAACAAGCTGAAGAAAAACAGAAGAAATCAAAGTAAATCTTTTCTGCAAAAAGATATTGTATAGATATTTTGTAATTATGTAATTGAAATTCATTTTACTACCTGTAGTTTTGATCTTTTTATTACCCTAAAATCTTTGTTGTGTTTGAGGAAAAGGGAGAGAATTTATTCTTAGGAATTCCATCCAAAAAGTTTTCTTCAAAAAAACTACAAATTATGTAGAGAGAGTTGTTGCTGTGAGCATAAAATCTTACTAATAAAAATCCTTTTTTTCTTAAAATCTTGTTTCTGCTTGCTAAAGAAATGAATTTTACAAAGGATTATTACAATCTCCATGGAGAATGCAAATATTACTTCAGTATATGTGAGTATACCAAAAGGTTATCTGTTAGAATTAATATACATAGTTATAATAGCTTAATCCTTTTTGAACTCTCTACTTTTAAAATATATGTATAAAATCTCTATAAAATAATGACTCTTTTAATGATCTTGTGTGATAATTTCCACATTCTCTTGCTTCACCTTTCTTGGGAATGGAAACAAATATGAATCTCTGGGTCAGTTGATCAGGCAGCTGTCCTCAAAATTACCTGGCATAGACTGGTGAATATGTCCATGGCTGCGTCTGTCCTTTGAAACATGTCAGTTGTTAGCCCATTGATTCCTGGAGCCGTTTTTTTTTTTTTTGTCAGTTCCATCAGTGCAACTTGAAATTCTTCCCTTATTACCATTTGCTCATCAATAACCTTCATTATGTAGATGACACAACCTTACTTGCTGAAAGTGAGGAGGACTTGAAGCACTTGCTGTAGAAGGTTAAACACTGCAGTCTTCACTATGGATTGCGTGTCAACATCAAGAAAACAAAAATCCTCACCACTGGACTAATAGGCAACATCATGGTAGATGGAGAAAAGATTGTTACCGCCAAAAACTTCATCTAACTTGGAACCATACTCAATATACTTGGTACCAGCAGTCAGGAAATAAGGAGATATATTACACTGGAAATGACTGTAGTAAGGGACCTTTCCCAATTATTGAGGAACAATAATGTCCGTTGGAGATCTAAGGTATGCCTGATTAAGGTTATGGTTTTTTCAGTCACTTGCTGTGCATCTGAAAGCTGGACAATGAATAAAGATGACAGCAGAAAAATTGATGCCTTTAAACTGTGTAGTTAGAAAGTAGGACTGAATATCCCATGGACTTCCAAAAGAACAAATAGATATGTCTTGGAGAAGGTACAGTCAGATGCTCACTGGATGCAAAGATGGTAAAGCTTCATCTCTCATACTTTGAGTATGTTGTTAGGAGAAACTATTGCTTGAAGAGGGACATGAAGACATGCTTGGAAAGGCGGAGAGTTGGAGAAGGAGAGGAAGAATCTCACCCTGGTGGATTGACACAGTGACTGCAGCAGTAGGCTTGAGTGTGTCAGGATGACACAGGATAAGACAGGTTTCAGTTCAGATTTGCTATGAGTAGTACTCGACTCAGCAGCACATTACAACAGCAACATAAATAGAAACATATTCGCAATAAAATTTTTAAGACTTACAAGAGAGATAAAGGAAGAAAAACACCCGAAGTCTAAACCTAGAGAGAACTGTCTTCAACATCCTTCAGTGGCCAATTCCCCACTTGGTACTTGGTATCCAAAAACAGAAACATTGCTGTCTGTTTCTTTCTGACTGACGCATAATGACCCTGAGTATCCAAGACTGTAAATCTTTATGGAAGGACGTTTCCACATCTATTTCTTTGCATTTTTTTAACTAAATTTTTATGTTATACTAGTTTATTGACAAAGTTTGTATACATTGTTTTTCACACTGGATCTTTCCATTTCCTTTACCCACCCCTCCCTCTACCCATCAAATTGTGCAACCCTGTGATGAACACACACACCACCACCACCACCTGCTCATCCTCACCCCTCTGCTCCCACCTTGGATCCGAACTGTGAGTTCACTCAGCATAATGCTTTCCACTCCCTCCCAAGTTAGGTAATAAATTAAAAATCATTGCTTCTGTATGCTGCATAGAAATCCATTGTGTGAGTGTGCCATATTTTCTCAATCCATTCCATAGTGGTTGAACATTTGGTCCATTTCCATGTTCTTGTGATGATGAATAATGCTGCTGTGAACATTGGTGTACAAATCTCAGTTTGTGCCTCAGTTCTAATTTTCTCGAGGTATATTCCAAGCAGTGGAATAGCTAGCTGAGTCATATGGAATTTCTATGTTCAGCTTTTTGAGGAAACATCAAACTGCCTTCAAAGTAGTAGTACTATTTTACTAAGTCTCCACATCCTCCCCAACATTTATTACTTGTTGTCCTGTTAAACCTTGTCACTGCTACTGGAGTAAGAGGGTATCTCATTGTGGTTTTGATTTGCATCTCTCTTATTGCCAGTGATTCTGAGCATTTCTTCATGCACATCTCTCACCACACACAAAAATCAACTCCTGGTGGATGAGAGACCTATGGGTAAAGCCCAGAACTGTAAAGATCGTAAGAGACAACATAGGACCAATCTTAGAAGGCCTAGCTCATGGTATAAAATATGGCTGAAAAATAGAGCCAAAAATGTACAATCAGGACAGGATAAAATTGATGAATGGGATCTTCTAAAGATTAAATTCTCTGTGCACATCATAAACACTTTTCAATAAAGTGAAAAGAAAACCTACCGACTGGGGGAAAAAAGTTAGCACTACTATTTCAGACAAGAATTTCAAATCAAAAGTTTATAGAATCCTACAGGGCCTCCACAAGAAAATGACTGATAACCCAATTACAAAATGGCCAGAAGACATGGAAACACATCTATCTCTTGTTGTGGTTGATTGTCTTAGAGTCGAGCATGACTCATAGCAACCCTAAGAACAAAAGGCCTGAAGCCTTTCTATGACTACCAACATTTATCAAAGTTCATAGAGTTTCCGGAGGCATGTTATTTAGGAAGTGGATACGACTCCTGGAGCACCTGGTAAATTCTAAACTGCTGACCTAATTAGCAGCCAAGTGCTTAATCATTGCTCCACCAGGGCACTTAGTATGTTGTTGTTAGGTACAGTTGAGTCACCTCTAACTCATATACCCAACGCCAAATGTACACCAAAATGAAAGCCTATTCTATCCTCATGTCTCTGCTGTGCTTCCATTGTTGCACTCACTGTGTCACTCCGTCTCATTGACGATCTTTCACTCTTACACTTATCTCTACTTTTCCAGTCACTTTATAAAGACTTACATATATCCCAAACCAAAGTCTCTATCCTTCTAGAAGCACTCTGGTACCTCTTCCAAGATGGATCTCTTTGTTCTTTTGACAGTCTCTAGTATATTAAATTTTCTTCACCAACTTCACAATTCAAAAGCTTTATTTTTTCTTAATCTTTCATATTCCTTGTCTAACTTTTCACATTCATGAAGCAATTGAAAATATGGCTTGGATTAGGCTGACACCATTTCTCTTAAGCACTTTAAAGATTTGACAGAGTTGCTCAATGAAATAAATCTTCACTTCCTACAAGCAAGTTTGTGTCATCTACATAGGAACTCATTGATGAATCTTACTTCAATGCTGATGTCACATTTCTTCATATGGTTCAGGTTCTCAAATTCTTTTTTCACCATGCCAGTTGGATTGGTATTGAAAGATACAACCTTGATGCTCACTCACATTCTTGATTTTACACCATGCAGTAAAACCTTGCTCTGTTTGCTTCATGGTCCATGTACAGATTTTGCATCCCACATAAGCACAAAAAAGCGTTCAAGAAATTCCATTTTTCACAATATTATTCATAATCCATTATGATCCACATGTCAAATGCATTTACATAGTAAAACATGAATAATCTTTCAAGCATTCTCTGCTTTCATCCAGTTTAATGTCATCAAGATCACATGTTCTATAGCCTCTTCTTAATTCCACTTGAACTTCAGACCATTCTTTGTTGTGTTACTATAGCCATATGTTAATAATCCTCAGCAAGATTTTACTTGCCTGTAATATCAATTTTGTTTGATGATTTCCACATTCTATTGGATCTCATATTTTTGGGGGGATAGGCACAAATATATATCTCTTCCCATCTGGTGGTCAAGAAACTTTCTCCCTCATTTCTTGGCACAGACCAGTTAGTGAGCAAGTCCAGGTCTGAATCTGCTTGTTGGTTTGTTCAAATCCTCTGTTAGAATTCTGTCAATTCATAGATCCATGATTTTTCCAGTCCTTCCGTGCAGCCTGACGTTTCTCCTGAAATTTGTGAGGATAAAACAATTCTTTGGTACAGTGATTCTCTGTATTCCTCCCATCTTCTTTTGTTATTGTTGTTATGTGCCATCGAGTCATTTCCGACTCATAGTGACCCTATGCACAACAACACTAAACCCTGCTCTATCCTGCGCCAACCGCACCGCC